CTGGATGGGGGGGGAGTGAGTGAGCGGCTGCGTGGTGCTTAGTTGCTGGCTGGGGTTAAACCACGACACAATCCATTTTGATCTTTTGCCCCCACCATTAATGGAAGGAATCTCAAGGTTTTTAACTATTTCAATGTTTATACTTGTCTGTTTCTTTTTTTTTTCCTTGCTCCCATATTATTCTTTAGCCTAAATTGCTCATCTCTGTCTTTTGAATTGTCCTGTACCATGACAAGCATGCAGACAGCAACTGTAGGACCTGTCAGTCTGTGTTTTCCTGAGCTGGACAAACCAAACAATATTTAGAAAGATGTCCCCAAAATGAGGTCTTTCCTTCCTTTTAACTCCGTTTCTTGCAGAGCCTGCTGCAGGCTCCTCCTCAGCCCATTCCTCACCACTTTACAATTCTTCGACTAATCCCCAGCTTCCTCCTTCTGATTATTCATTTTCTGTGTGGCACTGATAAATTGCTTTACTGAAGTTCAATTAGATTAGATTGCGTTTGACTGAAAAAACTGCTATCAAAAAGCAAGAGATCTAATTAGTCTGGCACAATCTACTTTTGGTGAATCTATTTCATATTTTTATCTCACATATCAGCATCCTATCTTTTAATTTTTCTATCCATCAGATCCTTTTGTAAGATTGTGCATACTGCTGAGGCCATACCTTTTCTCCCCTCTTTCCTTAGTGCAGATACTGCACTTCATTTTTTTGCAGTAAAACTGCTGTCCTCTAATTTGACAAACTTATTAAAAATGCTGTCTGTCAGGCTCCCAGTTTCATGAGCTAAAGACCACCCCAGAATGCCAACTATTTGGGTTTGAGCCTCTATCTCATCATCTCCTGCATATTTAAAAGATTTTTTGAGTTTTGCTGCTACCTCAAATGGAGCAAATTTCACCCTGCACCTTTATTCCACTACTCATTTTCACCAATATACATACTAGTCCTGATGAAGACTCAGATAAGGCATTTATGAAATGTCTGAAATAGCTTTTCTTCTCAGTACCCCCATAGAGTGGCCCTCTTTTTTTTCCTGTTCTCTGTTTCAATTACAAGATTATACAGCCTTTTAGATTTGCTTTAGCTTCCTTTATAGGATCTAATGCAACCTGACAAAGTAAGAATTGTGAAAAGTCTTCCTCCTCTCATAGTTTGCCTTCCTTGACATTCGGTGCATTTTCATCCTCCAGCTCATTTTTCCAGAACAAAGGAGGAGTCAGATTTTCTGCCAGCCACATTCTTTACATCTCACTTGTGAACAAGAGCAAATGTGGTAATTGCTCCAGCGCAGAAGAAGAAAGTCACGAAGCACAGTGAAGAGAAATGCGACTCAGGAAAACCCAGGCTAACCTGTGCCAGAATAGAGAGGCAGACTACCCCTTCTATAGCTTATTTTCTCTTAGCACGGCAAAGTTTCTCTCAAGTGCACCCTGAGGATCAGACACTGTTTTTTAATTCTAAGGGTTTTCATATAGAAATTTCCCACTTCCCTCAGCAATTCATTTTTTCCCTCGCTGCCACCTTAACTTCCCACATTATCACTGACTAGAAAAGTGGAAGCAAAAGTCTTGGGAACCCCGAAGGAAGAGAATTGATAGGAGGTAAGACACTGCTATGCAGAACAGTCAACTCCAATCTTACACAAGTCTACTCAGTTTAAGGGACTGGCAAAGTTGGCATGGAGCTATGTTTTGGGTTTGTGTGGTGGGGTTTTGGTAGTGGGGGAGGAGCTGCAGGGCCGGCTCCTGTGAGAAGCTGCCAGAAGCTTCCCCGGCTCCAGGTCGGACCCGCCGCTGGCCCAGGCCGAGCCCGTCAGTGATGGCGGTAGCGCCTCTGGGAGAAGAGATTTAAGAGGGGAAACCTGCGGTGAGTAGTGGGATTGGGATGTGAGCGGAACCCCAGTGCAGACACGGAGGTCAGTGAGGGAGGAGGGGAGGAGGGGCTGCCCCCGCAGCCCGTGGTGAGACCAGAGGGCAGGCTGTCCCCCCCCAGCCCACGGAGGGGAGCGGGGGAGCAGATGCCCACCTGCAGCCCGGGGAGAGAGGAGCCCACGCCAGAGCAGGGGGGTGGATGCCCCCAAGATGGCCGCCACTCCCTGGGGAAGCCCGCGCTGGAGCAGGCTGGGACTGAAGGACTGCAGCCCATGGGAGGGACCCACAGCAGAGAAGTTTGTGAAGGACTGTGTCCTGTGGGAGGGACCCCACGGGGGGGCAGGGGAGGAGTGAGGAGTCCTCCCCCTGAGGAGGAAGGAGCGGCAGAGACGACGTGTGAGGAACTGACCCCAACCCCCATTCCCCGTCCCCCTGCGCTGCTGGGGAGAGGGAGGACTAGCAGTAAAGTTAAGCCTGGGAAGAAGGGAGGTGTGGGGGGAAGTGTTTTAAGATTTAGTTTTTCTCATTATCCTTGTTTTGATATGATTTGTAGTAAATCAAAATGATTTTGTTTTTTCCCTGAAGTTGGGTCTGGTTTTTGCCCCTGGCCATAAGCGGTGAGTGATCCCTCCCTGTCCTTGTCTCGACCTGCGTTTTGTTGTATTTTTCTCCTCCTGATCCCACCAGGGCCAGGGGGGGTGGGTGGCAAGCAGTGAGCAAGTGGCTGCGTGGTGCTTTGCTAGTGGCTGGGCTTAAACCACGACAAGCTAGAAAGCACTTTCCAGCTTTGTTTAGCTATGGAAGCAAAGTCTTCTAACCTCAATCCTTCAATCCTTTTGTCTGATCTCAAAACCTTCTGATTATCAAGATTCCTCCAAACATTTTCTGATGGGAAACGCACAGTCCACATGGTTCCATTGTAAGCAAGAGGAAATTATAAACTAAAAATACGGTGGCTAGTTTACAGAACAAAAAAAAAAAAAAAAAGAAAGTTTTTTAAAGCCAAAAGCCTTGTAAAAGGAAAGAATTGTATAAGCTGCAGTAAGACCCAGACAGACAGGCAACAGGTTTTGACTTCCCTACTTTGTGAAGGACTTCTTCCTCTACTTGTTTTTCTCCATCTTCTCCCACACAAGCCATAGCACCCCAGAGTAACTGATGCTGTACAGCAGAATACTTAGGACAGGCCTGCTCTGTTCCCCCTCCCTGGAGCTACAATCTCCAGATTTGTCTTGGGAAGCATGTTTTAATAGAAGGACTCGGAGTTGCCCCTCCTGCAGCCCTCTCTGCTCTCAAACTCCTGGAGGCAGAAGTGAGGTAGCAAGAGGAAGCCCTGTGGAAGATTAACAACTTTTTTCACTTTTTAGGGGATGGTGACATACTGTGCAAGCAAGGAGAGCTGCCAAAATCAGAACCAGCATGAAATGCTGCAGGGCTCTAATGAAGAGATTTCATTCAAGTCTCCACTACAGCCTGTTCATATCCCACACCACTGCCTCAGGGGAGAGCAGCTCACCACAACTCGGACATCCAGGGCAGGGCAAGAGGGAAGCAGGCCACACTCATACTTGGAATCCAACTTCTTAAAGAACTGGGCAGTCTTAAAAACCACATCTACTTTGTGAAGTTATTATATAGAGCAATGTTCACAGATCAGGCACATTCTTGCCAAAATGCCATTTATTGCAGTATACTTTTACATGGCATACAGATAACCAAATGTTGCATCTTCTGTTAGAACTCATATTTCATTTGTACCACTTAAATAACACAGAATGTCATGTTTGTTTCACAAACTGTCAGTTTAGACTACCAAAATATACAGTTTTTTCCTTTCCCCTTAGCAAGGTTGTGAGGTACAACTGAAGTTTACCACTTTATCTTCCTGTGCTTTACAAGAACCTTTTCATAGATACACCTATCAAATAACATTTCTACATTCCTATACAAAGCAAAGAATTACAGCTGAAATTAACACCATCTGGTCATTGCATTAACCTATAAAAATTCATTCAGTAAAAAAAAAAACCAAAAACAAAACACCAAAAACAAACCAACAAACAAACGTAATGGATTTTGCAGCTTTACTTAAAAACAGCCAGCTACATGTATGCACAAGTTTTCCTTGTGCATAAAGAAGAGTTTGGAATCAAGAAGTGTTTTGGTTTTTTCTTGGGTTTGCAGAGAAGGCACCAATTTTAGCCGCGTAGCAGCTCAGGAGTGTTCTATACTTCATTTAAATTACGCAGGTTTTTAAGTTTTACTGTTAATGTGCAACATTTATACCAACTGTTGCAATGTTCTCCAATATTCTCCAATCATTCCCTCTGGCTCAACAGTACAAATATTTACATCAGTTGTAAACACTCCTCCACCCACCCCATACCTTCTGCACTGAGTGATGACGAACTGAACTTGCAAGAAGCTAACAAAAGGCAGAGCAGAAGTAAGGCTTGTGCAGAACACCACACTTTTCTTCTCACTCGGTTTGAGATACTCTGGAGAACTCCAGACCCTCAATGAGGCCTCAGTGCCCCGCATCTGACAGCACATTGACCACCAACAGCTTCAGGCATCCAGACTTTCGTCAGGAGGTGCTTTTTGGCCCTTACTAGTCTGACATCCCTGGAGCTGCTTCTCTCCAAAGTGCAGGAACAGCTTCTGAAGAGCTGTTCTGGAGTCGCGAGAGTCAAGCACGCCAACTGTTGTATATATTTAAGGCCACCTACACTTAGCCTTCATCAGGTTTGTTTCAGGTGCTATGCTTCTCTACTCCTTAGCTGCGAAGTCATGATACGCTGCTTTCTACCTTCCACCCCTGTGTGCCAAGGTATCCTGTGGCATAGACGGCAGACCACGTTCCGAGACAACCGCTGTAAACAGTGCACAGAGAGGTAGGTGCTACAACGCGCCATCAGTCACCTGGCGACTACACAGTAGCGTGGGATAAGAGTATTTGCAGCATGACAGCCCAGCCTAGATTCAGCACCTAAGCAGAGGGAATGTCTGAGATGAGACTGCTTAGAAAAACCTATTTCTTACCAAAGCCTAGAAAGAGCAAGAGGGTAGTGGGACAGTCCAACGCTATTGGTAAAATGAACTCTCCACTTAGTTTGCGGGTCTTTGGGATTTGTTTTGTATTACTGTATGCACCAACTGCTTAGGAGCTGGTTCCGACTATGGGATAATGCTTCCAAAATATAAGTTATTTTAAACCACGTGACAGTCATTTGCTTACCCTGCCCCTCACACCTCCTTTCCCTAGAAATCATGTTCATCCTGATGTTTCATAGGCATTAAGTGCTCCAAATATGGCAGGTAGAAAGAGCTAGAGGATTGCAGTGTACCAAACGTCTGCCCAGCGCAGCAATTTGTTACACTTAAAACACATACATGAGTTAAATAGGAAGGATCCCTGCTATATAGAATTTGAGCACTGATAATTGTTTATTCTTGCTAGCCCTTTCCCTAAATATCAAGAGGTTTATACATACAGTGCTCCCTTATCTTCTCCCCACCGCCTGCCCCAGCAGTCTTTAGGTAAACCAAAGTGAGTTTAGGAACTTGCAGTCCCACTTCTGTTCAAAAAAAAGTAAAATAAAATTAAGAAGTTGTGCAAGAAAGCAGGGAATCTTCAATGAATCCAGATCTACTTTGTAGTTATAAAATTTCCAATGGCAAAGTGGTAAGGGCAAATAACCCAATGATCATATGGCTTAAGTTTAATGCAAAGCACACTAGGAGGTCCACGTGCAGGGAGAGAAGAGTCCAAGAAAGATGGAATAAGAAGTGTCCTGAAGATCAGTGTTTATGCATAGAATTCTTCTTGTTTGTGTGGTTTTTGGTATCCTCCATTAGACTGTTTTGGTTCATCCAGTGAATAGCTGCCTTCGTCTTTTTTCTTCATTCTGTACAGCATAAATGCAACTAGAAACACTGCAAACACCAAGCCTACTAGTCCTCCAGCAATAACACCTAGAAGGGGGAAAAAGCCACAAATTACTCTAGACGCCACACCAGACAACACTAGTATCATTGTAAGTTCCGGATTGTTCCTTACTGCGTGGTCCCTGAATTCATGACTTCCAGAAACTAAGTTGTCCTTTTGCCCCCTTCCCAAACCAGTCATCCTGCCGTTACCAAGATGAGAGCCTGCTCATCTACACGAGGTGAACCTAGAGAAACAGATCTCCCAGCGGGCTATGCTGCAAAGCACGCAAGGCTACGTTGTTCAACTCTAGTAATTTGACCCAGGCAGCATTAGAGCAGTTTTACTGTAATTTTTGAGAGGAGCGAAGCAATAGGTTTAAACACAAAATTCCAGATAACTAGCAGTAGCAGCTTTGCGATTAGCAGATTAATATTATGCCCCTGTTAGGGTTTTGGCAACACAGAATCATGAATCACCACCCTTATTTCAGAGGTCTAACGTGAAAGGTTAGCTTTCATGCTCAGAGATGTACTTGCAGAACTGCAGCTTCTGCTGCCTGGAAGACTCCTTCGAGAGTCTGCTTTTACCAACTAGAAATCCAGAATATCAGGTACCTCCAAGAACTTCTTTTCTGTCCATAATTCCTGAGGCTCCTGCTGCTTTGGCATTCCTCCCAGAGTCAGCTGGCACTTCTGAGTTCTGGGTGGGGACCAAATCCTCATCTTTAGTCAAGATGAAGTCTCCCTGTTGGGACATACAAGGCAGGTTATTCATGTTTCTCATCATGTCTGTTACTGGAGACTTTCCACAGCTTTGTTTTTTTCTCATCTAAAACCCTCCACCAATATAACCTCGTAAATCAATCATTGTTTTTGACAAATTACCACCCTTTCCTGCAAAAACAACTTACTAGATAACACTAAAGCCACCTCCCCGGAATGGGTGTCAAAGCTATTAGTCCTCACCGGGTCTCCGGAGCCATCCTCAGAAACCTCCTCATGCGTAGGAACAACGTCCTTGGGAGCTGTCGTCGTGGGGGTGGCAGTGATGTCTCCCTCAGGATGCATGGTAGAGTGGGGCTCAGGCACGTCTTTAGCGTCTGGCATCTCAGAGCTAGGGATTTTAGGTTTGAGCTCGTGGACCGTGCCTGAGGCTTCTGAAGGAGTTACATGAACCACTGAAGGCAAGCGAGTAGTGGGGCTTCTCACTGTTGTTATAACTGCATCGTTTGTTGGTTTCTCATCAGGTGAGCCCAGGATGGACACTTCGTCCTTCACAGCTACCACTGGCTCCTCTGTCACTACATTACTGGTTGCAGAAGGAGATATTACTTCCTTTTCAGTTCGGCTCTCAGTCCCGCGAAACAGCTGTTCGTTGAAATCCATTGGTGTTGCCAGTAATGAGGAATTAGCTGGTTCTCCTGGGATTCTCCAGGTGTGAGACGGGTCAGTCAGGGGACCTGCAAAACAAAAAAAAATATTATCCTTGGCCAGTTTAGAGACCTATTAATAGTACCTTCAGGATGCTGCTCTAAGGACGATGCCTAACCTGCATAGCCAATTTTCGTTACAACAGCAGTTCAGTTTGTAATTCCTTTTCAGTGGAATAAGGAGGGGACAGACCAATGTGCTATTCAGCAATACTTTATTAGTCATCTGCTTCTCCCCAAGGCACAAGTGCTAGTCTGTTTGCAGACAGGTCGACAAGGGGGACATCTGCTTCCAGTACACTGGTTGCTCAGGATGGTTATCTGACTCTTTTCTCATAAATATTTTTTTTATTTGATTCAGAGCAGTCATCCATATACTCAAACACCCTTAGTCGCTGGCACATTTGGCACTGATGTCAGGGTCTTATTCCTGCAGAATTTAATCTAAAATACAAGCATGTGGCTGGAAGGAAGCAGAAGGATACCATGCATTAGCTTTCAATAGCTTGCTCTTTCCTCAGTAGCATCTCCTCAACTTCAGCACTGAACACCAACGGTCTCTCTCACACAGTTTAGTAATCATTCTGATAGACTTTTTCCCCACCCTAGAACCCCTTTATTCCACTTTTAAAAAATTATGGCCAATGGGAACTTGCACCTGATGATATAAAATTTGCACTTGATGTATGTTGGCAGGTTGGGGTTTACACACCCTCGAGTGGTATCTCCTATCAGCTCGTAAGAGAGGACAAAGGCCCTTCTTACAGTCTCTCTTCCCCATGAGTAAAGAATCAGTCCAGTTTCATAACATTCTTCACGCAATATCTCATACTAGCAGTCACATGGAATATGCCTGCTTCTGCTCCCTTTCAAGTCTCCTACAACTCATTTTCTGCTAATTGTTAGTATCTGCAGCAATACAAGATGAATAGATAAGGCTCTTTCTGTGTTCCCAACTCTCATATTCTGGGGCAGGGGGTGTGTCTGTATATGATTCCTCCCTTCCCCACTTTTAGCTTGGATGCTCATCAAAATCTCGATTGCCACATTCTGGAAGGATCAAGCACGAATAGTACAAGTGCTAATAACTCACCTGCACCTGAACCTGAGAATGCATCGTCATCATCACCAGATGAATCAAGGTCTTCAGGAGGAAGGTTCAGATTTGTAGTTTGCTTTAAAGAGAAGGGGAAAGGTGTGTTAGTCATGAGTTTACTTAAAGTTATCGTGTTGCTTGCGCAGAGTCCTCTAAGGGCTCCTGAAGGTTACACAAACTTTCTTTGTTCAGATTGCATTTTCTCATCTTTCTTCTTTCCATCCTCCCTCCCCAAAAGAGTAGTTCTGGTTAGTCTGTTCAGTGTTGGAAAGGGCAGTCTTGCTGTCTCCCTTCTCTGCACTGCTTCCACGCTGCGCTTGCTTTGGGAAAGAAGAAAGCAAGGAATTCGTTTAGAGCTGCATCCTGGTAGCAACTGATGCTCAGTCCTTACACAACATAACCATTCTGCTTCAGGTTCCGCCTGCTCATGTCTTTGCTATCTACCAACCACTTCATCTGTAAATTACTGCATTACTTCTAAGGAGCAGAAAGGAAAGGGAGACATATTAGTTTGGCTTCTCTGCCTTTTTCAGCCCTTCCAGCGCTGTTCACATATCTGAAACTACAGTGTCTAACTGGAAGTAGAATGAGATTCCCTTTTTATAAGCATGAGCACTCAGGCTAAGTCCGGAGATAGAAGCCAGCCTTCCATGTAGGAGAATACAACCCTGAGCTTTCTCCATTTATGTTTCAAGGAGTACACTAACCAGCACAGGTCAGTAGCTGAAACAAGAGGCCAAAGCCCTGTTCTACTGCACCTGTTTGTCATAACACACAATGTTCAAAGCTGTTCAGGATATCCAAAGAAGACAACACTAAATAAAGCAGAGTGATCACTTCATGCACCTTGTTGCCCTCTGCTGTATAAACTTACTGTTCCTATCGGTACAACATGCTTGACTCTCAGCTCATAACTAGCCCCAGGTTTATTTCTGCAGGGCTACCATTACCTAACCAGTCATTCTCCCTTCTTGAATTTCAAACCAAAGCCCTGTCAGTCACTTCTTCCGAATTTAATCTTTCCCCATCCCACTACACTCCCAGTCTTCCAGAATTTTGATTTCTATCCGATCCTCAAGACGCCCTTGTCATCCCCTTCCACCACTGCCCCATCTGCAAGTTTAGGAGATATTGCATTGCATCATCCAAGCCGATCACAGTTTTATCGGGAGTGTGAAATCTCATTTTATTACATAAAAAGAACAACATACAGTCTTGCCAGTTTGCAACCAGGCCCACTGTATTTCTCTAGCTTGCATTAACACGGTGTCACTGAAAAATGACTATAACACTCATTTTCATCCTAGGAAGCAGTTAGCCAGCACTACTATGATCTGTCAAACAAAGCACTTGAGCTCTCTCATTGTCACTTTATTACCTACATGGCTGCCTTTATTGGCCCTATCTCCTTCTCATTCTTTTAAGATACCAGGTTTATCCAGTTTTCTCTTCTGTCCTTAATACCTTATCCATTCCCCACATTTCCATAGAAAACTAGTTTCCAAGGTGGTTAACTAGCCCATTAGATTCAACCTCTCTGAGACAAGTATGCAAGCTGCCACCAACCTAATCAGGCCCAAGATCTTACCCCTTCTAGGCAATCATTGTAGTTAGATTTTTTTTTTAAAATAACAAGAAAGTAAGAACAAAAAAACCTCATATAGACATTAAACTTTCTAGCACTTTCCTTCTCTACTGGAAAAAAAAGCAAACCAAAACAAACCGCTTTTCCTCAAGCTTCTGCAAGCATATTTCTCGAGTAATTTCCAAGAAGAAACTGCCCTTCAATTTTTTGTTTAGCTGCATCTCATGAGGTAATTTGGATTTTTAGATTTGTCCCTGCTTGTTTGCACTGTGCTTTTGCACTCAACCATGGAAAGTAGGTCAGGTAAGTACTTCCTGTATGTTTTTCTTCTTGTGTCGAAGGTCAGTGACTCACACAAGCTGATCTCACTACACTTCAAATATTAAAGAGTACGAACTGTTGGTGCATAAAGAGTATGGAAAGAACCACCAGGCTTCCCAAACTCTGCTCCCTTGAGCGTCCTTTCCAGTACGTTCAAAAGTGAAGTCAGACTTCAGAAATTGCACCATTTTGGTCGATGGGGGGGTTGGGGACCACTTTTCTCCCTCCTTTCTTGCACTAGCAGTGGCAAGCACAATCCTTTATTCTCCCACTCCGCTTGGTTTTGAGTGCAAAGGATGCATTGGAAAAGGGGGGGGGGGGCATTGTCCTCCCAGTGGGAAGACTCTACCTTGAAGCAGTTAGAAAGCCATCTCTCCAGCTTTTTATTGAGGAAAGAGACTGCCAACACAGTGTAAGACACATCACCATACACCTTTATCTAGGATTGAGACTAACGTTCCCCCAAATCTGAGTCGTCAGGCATAGCTCATACAGGATTTCCAAGAACACCTGGACAGATTTGATGGTCTGCAGACCGTAGCAACACACCTGAACGGATCACAGACTGTCGGGAAATGAAATAGCAACTCTTGATCTTGACTACCGAGCCAGCACCCCTTCCACTTGTGGTGTTAATGGATACGGCTTGTTCAGTCATGCCACGCTCCCTTTCTCGTTATCCAGCGTGTTCAGCCAGCCTACCCTTACATTTCCCCTCACACATGAGCTTTTAGCCTCTTCCCAGGCTGCTGCACGTTCTACTTCTCCATAGCCTTCGTCACACACTTCTTTGAATCCTAGTTTGATTTCTGTATCTTAGCAGGGATAGCTAGGTCATCCTAAGAGGAGGAAAGTCCAGTGCAGCCCAGTCTAAACCAATGGAGACCCATGCTGTTCCAGTGTAGAGCCGCCCAGCAGCCACCTGCAAACATGAAGGCAAACTCAGACCGGTTCCTGCCCCCTGAGGCTGGCTACTGTACTTCAAGAGAATAACAGAAAACATGATTCAGGATTAATAAAGTCTGCTTTCCACAGCTTTATATGAGAACTTAGTGAAGTTGCACTTAATGTGTCTTTCTACTTAAGTTGTCCCAAAGGGTTTAGTCCCAAGCTGCTCCTCTGGGAGTTGCGGCATCTCCCTTTGACCAGGTAGTTTGAGGCCTGGGATCTGAGAGGGATTGTCTTTGCCCCAAATACTCAAGGGACAGTACAGGATTATGCAGATGTACCAGTCAGAATATCCACAAAGTGATGTGACTTCATGACATCGTCCGATTTCACGACACATGAGCATTAGGGGAACGTTTGCCTAATTTAGGTAACTGTACGGTTATAGAAAGACTACACTTCTTGCTCCATAGACTACAGCTTCAGTAAGCATGAAAGGCAGTAACCTTTCCTTATGGCACCACAAAATACAAGTACTGCAGAAAGGTCATGCTTCTGTAACAATCTGCTGCTGAAGGATTTCAGACACAGCAAGGTTAACATAAAACACTGACTCAGGACAGCATTGGAAGGGATTGAACTAATTTGGGTTTGCATCAGGAAGACGGACCGTGCTGTTCAGACAACAAACACCTCGTGGTCAGGGCTTTTCCATGACCTTTTATTGCAGCTGAGTTACACCAATGAGAAAGGTTTTGATTAGTCAAGAGGATTAGGGGCACAGAACACAGATTGAATCACCAGGTTGTGCTATCATACGAAAGAGCTGAAAATAGATTCCAGCTTAAAGCAAGATTACTCTACCAACAACTTTGCATTACTTTAGCTCAAAATTTGATTACCGGACTGTTAGATATAATCAGCTAACGTGGATGTGCTTTTAGAAATTACTTCCATCATCATCCAGTTCATTTGTCAGTCCACTGAGACTATTTGTGGACCATTCACATAGTAATCAATGCCGGAGAGGCTAGATTAACACATTTAAGTTCAGGTGGTGGGATCCTTTGAAGGATCTCTGATAGTATCTCATGTATTCTAGTAAAAAAACCTTTCAATTCTTATAGTGCACCTACAACACGTTGCTTTTTTGCCATTTAACAAGCTCATATCTTTTTAGCTGCCTTTTTTTTTTAGCAGCTCAGACAACACATTAGAAATAACTTGCCTAGCCCTTTTGATTTGGTGTCACTGAATTCGGTTGCATGTGAGGGGTAAAATTTTTAACAGTATTTTTGATATGCGTTAACCAGTTCCCATTAACCAGTGGAAGACCCCCTTCCCCAAGTATCAAAGCAGCCTGTTTAGGGGAAACCCTGGGGAGACTGTTAGCCTCTGCTCTTGCTGAGCGCTGTATTGTTGCAGAACAATAGTTATTCAGTTCTGCTGGGACAACCAGAAAGCTGCTTAGTGGCATCTTCAATTTAATCAAGAATGGGCCAGGCTTTCACAACTCATTAGCAGTATTATTGGCTCCAGAAATCTGACATACTTTGGACTTTTTTTTTTTTTTTTAAAAAAAAGCATCATTTCTAACTACTCTTCAGTCTTCATCTTGGTTGCAGTCTCAGTACATGAATCTTTCTGTGCTTATCCCGTCAGCTGCCACAGAATTCCCTCCTGCTAGAACACAGATCTGAAGTACTCTCTCATGATGAAGAGGAGATTTGTAGTTTGTTAGTTGATCTCACCCCGCCCAAACTGGGAACCACATTTCTTTAATTTGGAGCCATGGTATATGTAAAAGGAAGCAGCTTTTTTCAAATTGCTCTTTGAGGTAAGCAAAAACACTGGCTTTGCCACAAGCTGCCACAAGCCCTAAACTAGATTAAGGATGATTTGTATCCCACTCTTATTAATCCTAGTTAGTGATCAGCCACAGCAGCATCAAAAACACTTGAAATCCTCCATTATCTAAATAATGCTGTTAAATTTGCACATTTGTTTCTCCTAATAAATCCTTCTTATTCAGCTGAAAAGGAATGAGCTGTAATGAGCTCTCCCACCTCAAACACTTCCCTGAGCATCCTGCAAGATTCTTCCAACTTTATAGGAAGCAAAACCAATGGCTTGCTCTTGTTTAGAGAGACATACAAGAACAAGACAAGCGTTTGCTCTCTGGCTTGCCTACTAAATATGGCACTGGAGCATTCGGAAAAAGACTTTCACAAGGATTTGAACAGCTCTAAAATAAACTCAAACAGAAAGGTTTGTCTTTCACCTTT